AATTGGCCTGGTCCTGCCAGCCCTGCAGGGCTCATTGGGGACCCTGCCAGTCATCCTGCCTCGGGCTCCTTCCAAGGATCCACTGAGGTTGGGAAGCAGCTGTATGGCCCCTATCCTGGGGCACCCTGTCTCCTTCACTTGCCCGGCAGAATCCCACCTGTTCCAGGCTTGAGACTCCCTCCAGAGCCCCATGGCTCAGTGGAGAGGAGTTTGTAAGCTGGGCTGTGGCCCCAGGCTCCTGGCCATGGGGGCCTCTGTCTCTTCAACCCAGGGAGTGTTTCCTGCAGTGCCCCCTCTCATTGGCTTGCCGGCTCTGTGCTGGGACTTGCTGTCTGCGCCAGCCGGGGACGTGAGCAGGGACAGCCGCGTGGTCCGGCCAGACCTGCGCTCCCTGGACTGCAGGCAGCCAGTCCTTGTGGGCTCTGAGGAGCCTGGCGTGCCTCCATAGGTGCAGGGGGACTTTGCTCTGCTTACCTGCCCCTTTGACTCCTTTCAGAGCCTGCAGACAGACTTCCCCTCCTGGCTGTCCCACCTGGCCCCCCAGCAGCAGCCAGCAAATCTACACAGGGTAAGCAGGCTCCTCAGGAGCAGTGGGCATGTCCTGTGGGGAGAGGCCATGAATGGTTCCTGGCCGGGGGTGGGGAGTTCTGTGGGGGGAGGGAGGGTAGAGACCTGGCCAGGGTGGGGTATTCTGGGGAGGGCAGTGGGCACTGTGGCAGCAGTGGGGGGGGTGCCTTGCTGCAGACTGCTATGGGGGAGCTGGGCTGGGGGGCCATGAGGCTAGGGATCTGCATGCACTGAGGGGCCGCAGAGGCTCCTGGACGCTGGGAATGAGGGCAGCGTGTCAGGAAGGAGCCGGTCAAGTGGGTTGTAGTTGAGAGCTGCGTGCCTGGGAAGTGGGACGTAGCAAGGCCAGGTACCCTGCCCACTGGGAGCACGTGGCCCATTTGCGTCCCTCTTGCACACGGGTTGTGGTGCAAATACGTACACGTGCGCCTCGGCAAGCGTGGTGGGCGAATTGCACCTGCCCATGTGAATGTACGCTGCCAAGACCAGCCACTGCTGGCTGTTCCACACAAGCCTTTCCCGGGCTGGGCACAGAGGGACTGTTTGCAAGCCGCTTGCTAAACTCCTTGGAGCATGGGTGCTTCTTCACTGCTTGGGCAGTTTGCAAACAACAGGAGGAGGGCTTGCCCCAGCCCTTGGGGGCCAGCTGGGAGCTGGGCCTTCCTTAGTACAGCTCGCCGGGCATTGCCCCCATCTGTGGACTGGCCATGTTGCTGGCACTCAGCCTCCCTGGGGCTGCAAGCGGAAAGCCAGAGAACCTCTGGGCCTTGTTCAGAGATCAGCTGGGGGCTGGGCTGCGAGCACCCTGGGGGCTCTGCCCTGAGGCTCAACTGTATGGGCACCCAGGGTCAGATGGCGAGAACCAGGGGGTGACCAGGGTTGGGTGGCTGAGTGGGGAACCAGGGGGTGAGGAGGGAGCTCGCACAGCCGGGACAGAGGCCTGGCAGTGAGGTGCCGCACTGGCTGGAGCAGTCAGAGGCGTCGTGCGCTACAGCGCCTCGCGCACTTGCTCGGATCCCTCTCTATGCTGCAGCTGGACCTGGAGGCCCCATTGTGCCCCAAAGGCTCACCATCCGGAAAGCTGTGTGGGGTCGGAGAGAGCAGGGTGACCGCAGCCAGGAGCAGTGCCCACGAGCTGCTGGCCAGGCCAGAGAGCACTGTCCCTTGGCAGCGAGGGGTTGGTGGAGTAGCATCGCTCTGGCCTGTGGTGCCGCTTTCAGGAACACCTGTTTCAGTAACCGCTGTCTGTCTGCAGGGTGTCCCCGACCCAGAGAAGGTGTCTACAGAAGTCCAGCGCCTGTGGGTACTGACGGAGATGATCCGCGCCAACCAGACAGCAGCCCGGATTGGGCGCTTTGACGTCAGTTCCCAGTTAGCCCTGTTCATTGCCCATGGGGGCTGGCCCCAGCTCCGGGCTTGCTGCATGGCCTAGGGCGGTTGTACCTTGGGTACTGGCAGTCACCTGAGCTGCTCCCTGTGGGCTGCATGTATGGAGGGCTGGTGGGCTGCTGGGTCCAGGGGCAGCTTCACCAGCAGGGATACACTCCCCCATCTCTGCCTCTTGAAACGTGCTAGCTCCCCTGCCACTGCAAGGAAGAGGCATGCTGGATG